AGCTGAGTGAACTAAAAGAAAGATACAAGGAGGAGGTCAGTGAGTTTATAATCTGCTCTTTGAAAAACACTCTTCACACAGGAGGGAAGTGAAACAAAATCTTACCACAAATGTTCAACACAAGATTAATAAAATTAATTTTAGTTTTAAATTTACATTTATATGTATATAAATGTATTTTCTTTCTTTCTTCTCTTGCAGTTCAAGAAGAAGATTCGGGGTGAACAGCAGAGGAGGAAGGAGGTTGAGGAAGATATAAAGGCCCTGAAACAGGAGCTGGAAAACAAGATAAACCAGGTATGTGCCCATTCTTAAAGATCTTTTCTATTTTCCTATTTTTGTTATTATGAATCATTTCATGTATTAATGCTCCATGCTCATTTTAAGGATCGCCAAAGTTTTAGATAACGAGGTTATTGCATGTACAAGTAATATGTGTGAGCCAAAAGCTTATGCTTGAGACAGTTTTAAACTGTTTTTTTTTTTAATTCTGTATGATGTCACTGAGAGGTAATACATCTACCATGTTATCCCAGGTACAGAAGCCACAGCTACTTCTGTTCAAATCAGGGAAAAGCTGCTATTAAAGGATAAAGAAAGAGCGGAAGCTGGGCTGTTTTAGCCAGCTGGGCTGTTTTAGCCAGCTGGGCTGGAATTATTACATTATGCACTGTGGGCTAGAATCACAAAGGTGTTTCCAATAATTACACTGCTGTGTCTTTATGAGCATCAAAGATAAGGTATCATTATTACAACTACACAACAACAACAAAAAAGGATACAGTAATTGTAGTGGAATTCATGAGCAGAGAAAGCTTAGTGTAAGCTACGACTTTTCAGATTCATACCAAAAAATTAAACACCACACTGAACATTTTAGAGGTGCACTGCAAAGTTAAAGTGTGTCACAAAACGGCCAAGTACCAAAGATCAAACCCACGTGCAGAAAACCCAAAGCGGAGGCTGAGGAAAGGGTTTAACAAAGGTTTATTAACTAGCACAAAAATGATGTTTACGATAGCGCTTGACACATGGGGTGTGAGGTTCTTGGCCAGGGGAGAGGGATAAGCAAGGGGACAGGTCCAAGAAAGCAGCGGCAGCTGCTGGTGATTAGGTGCGTACTGGAAGAGAGGAGAGCAGTGTTAGAGCAGTAGCCAATGAGGAGTTCTGGAGAGGGTGGAAGCTATGAACATCTTCTGTGCAGGTGGGAGATGGAAGCGTTGAAGGAGAGGTGGTGCGGTCCAGGTGGGTTTGGTGGTGTCCTGAGCGGTGAAGATCCCGTGGTGGTGTAAGGTTGCAAGTGACACTGCAGGCCACAAGATTGCAAGGTTAGGTTGAGAATCATAGACATGAAGCGTGAGGCCCGGTTACCAACATAGGGTAGTTGACGAACTGGCGAGGAAGCAGTATCAGCAAGCAGCTTAAATCTACGACCTGATTGCCTCAATCAGCTTCAGGTGAGGGAGGTTGTAGGCTCTGCCCATGGGTGGATACCAGGGAGGTCCAGACCTTCAGCAGAATTTTACAGCCACACACCCAGACCATGACAAAGTGGTTCTTATTGTGTGCATTAATTCTTTGCTTTAGTTACAAAAAGCCAAAGAAGAACCTGAGGAGGCTGTGAAAGAATGTGACATCTCTGAAGATGAACATTTGGTGCCAACAGAACCAACCAAAGCTCTGGACAATTAATAAAGTACAGTTACAAATAATGATGTCACGGGCAAAAAAATAGGTCCCCTGAATTTTATTTAACTGATCTCTGTTTAATTGCTTACACACACACACACACACACACACACACACACACAACACACACACACACACACACACACACACACACACACACACACACACACACAGTGAGGTTATAAATTTGATGTCGGTAATTCAATATTTCTTTTACATGATTGTTTATTGAATCAATTTCAGAATTGTTGAAGGCTACAGTTTTTTCTTACTGTGAATTTGTATTACTGGACAATCTATGAAGTAATGTAATACTGTGACAGCAGGAGGATTTCAATGCAGATGTTTGTACTTTAATTTCTGATGTTTCACGTATATGTTTACTTAAATGCCACTGGCCTTTATCATACTCACATTTAGTTTTGTGCTTCATTCACTAATTATTATACTAGTGTAACAGTCACATATGAAACTATTCTGTCATTATTCTGACTGTGTGACTCTGTATTATTATTAATATTATTATTATTGTTTTATAGCTGAAAGATTGGATATACATTTAATATTCTTTGTTAAGAGTATTTTCTGTTCAGTTTGGACTATTTACTTTTATCTTTTATAGCTCTTGATAAGTAGGTCTCTTCTGCTGAAACTGTTAGCACAGAAATGTACCTTATCTTTGAAAGAGCATTTGCACATTGTTTGTCCTAAGGCCTGATCCCTGTCTTTCATACAAACTTGTTTCCCTGGAAAATAATTTCTTGAAAAAAAGTGTGTTTCCTAGTAATAACCAGTTGATGGTACAGTGCACACATAGTGCAGCTGTTTGTCTGTTTACCACAAATCTGTCTGATTGTTTGCTCCCAAATACAACTTCAGTTACCAAATAAAACCATGTTCTCTTCAGGCCAAGTCACTGGTACAGTTCAAGGAGTAGTTGAACTGATTGGTGTTCACTGTGGCACACTTGAGGCCTTACCTAGACCCCAGATTTTATCCTTGTGTGACATGGTGGGCTGAAACACATCTGTCCTTTGACAGAAGAATGTCCCTGTTTTCATGATCTGAAAAATGGAAACCTTTCACTAAAAATCTTCAAAGTTAAATTGTCTGATGAGGGATCACAGTTGTAAAAATAAAGTTTTAACAGATCCCCATTCAGTCCTTTGAAAAGTACATCCTTACTGTTTCCATAGGAAATTACAGAGTCACTGTCATCCAGGTGCAGAAAACAGATCATCACAAAGTGTCACAACATTTATAAAAGTTGTTGTGTTGGTCAGTCTTTGGTCCAATGCAGTTATGGAGCTTTCATGTATGTGTTAATAAAATGATATTCATCCCCCGAAGACATCCAAGCAAACTCACTTTTAGGTCAAATTGTGTAAAATGACATATATAGTACTACATGAATAAGCAAGTATCACTTACTGTATTTGGAAGGGTTAAAAGAGGAAAGTATCTTCTCGCTAAAAAGAACAAGAGCACAAAATATCTCAAACAATGTCCTTTGGACAAACAAGACCAAAGGGGAGATGTTTAGACACAATGTACAACCACACATTTGGATAATCATACTGCAAAAAGTTATCATAAACACATGACTGCATACTACCCAGAATCCCGTAAAAATTCCTTTTTCCTATGACTGAATGCATTGGTCCAGACAACAGAAACAGTACTGAACTGAACCTGCATTTATGTTGAAGAGGAAGAATTTTATGCGTAAAGCTTTATTTAGAACATTTCTTAATAACTTTATGGTCACTATTTAATCTGTATTAAACACAGAGGTTTTTTTTGCAGGATTTACCTAATGTCTTGGGAATAGTTCTGCATGTCGACATTGTTTTAGCTGTGTTGGTAGTATTATCCTATCAGTGAAAGTTTTGGTCTGTTGGCCAGTCTTTGGTCTGATGCAGTTGATTCTTTGATAGTTTTGGTTACCCCCTGATTTTCATCTACTTTAATCAGGTTAAAATTTAAATGCATGTTTGAGTTTACTTTCTGACCAAATACCTAAATTCACAACAGCCCTGAAGTTGTCCAAGCAAATGATACTAAAAATCATCTTAATATTCCCACTGGGATATTTCTAACTGGAATATGTTATGTTTGTTGAATGTTTATGTAATGGTGTAAAAATGTTCATTTTTGTTTTTCTTTAAAGTAAGAATATACTGACCTGGTTTTGTTATGTAAATTTGTAATTAATTTTATTGGAGAAGCTTTTGGAAAGTGATTGGTTTATTAGCTTATGGACCCTCCCATTAATCAAGAGATTAAGAGCACCCTGGATGGGTGTGGTAAAGAGGTTTTTTTGTTTGCCAAATGTCAGATGGGAAGACGGGAGGGTTAGAAAATGATTTTTTGACCACTTTTGAAGTTGTTAAAGCAAATTAAGTTAACTTTCGTTTAATTTTAAGTTTTAAGAAGTTATTTGGCTGATTTTTGTTTATAATTTTGCACGAAATAAACGGCATATGATTTTTAAAAATGAAGTTGGAAGTGTATTCTCAAATAAATCACCTGTTGCCACCCACTGCCTTTTTGAGTACCGACCCCTCGGGGAATCGCTGCATCGTTTGATCCAGTTTTCTTTATGTTAATTGAGCAACTCTGTTTTGGATTTGTGGTAACTTAGTTATAGAATGAAATGTGCTTGCTCTGGCACCACATGGTGGTCAGGGTGGCAGAGTTGAAAATGTTAATATTTTTCACTGGGATTGAAAAAAATGGACAAGATTAGAAATGAGTACATCAGACACAAAACTCAGCAGTTTGGAGATAAAGTCAGAGAGGAGAAGCTTAGATGGTTTAGATATGTGCCGAGGAGTAGAGGTAGATTCATGGATATGTGGCAGGAGACATGCAGATGGAGGCAGTTGAAGGAAGAAGGAGAAGACCGTAAAGTGCAGCTGGGAGCTTTCAGGAGGAGACAGTAACAGGAGCAGATCCAATCTATTTTATTAAATGTTTTTGAAGAACTTGGCCTGAGGATACAGATCCTCTTTCACTGATCAATATTCAGGTAAATCCAGTTCAGCTTATTGGTGCAGATCTTGATGTGATGCACTACGTCTACAAGTCTTTGAATGCACAGGTGAAACAGTCTGTCTGCCTCTGATAAAGTCTCATACCTAATGCTAAAAAAAATATCAGTAGAGGATGGGGAAAGGGCATAATCAAATTTCAGACGCATGTGGTAAAACAGTCCAGAGACACTTATGTTTTCCTGTGACATAAGCCTTTGAAATATGGTAGAAGAATGCATTAAAAGGAAATAAATAAGTATGTGGTCAAAAAGAAGGCTGAAGCACAAAGAGGAAGAAAACATCCTAAAAATGACATTATATATGAAAACACCTAAACTTTCTAAAAGACCCCCAAAAACAAACAAAACAAATACTGGCACCAACAAGAGCCTTTGACTTGATAATCACAGACACAAAAACCTGATGCAAAACAGGAGACGTAGGAAAATCAAAAGAAACATCAATAAAAGACAAGAATGAAAAAGAAAAAAAAACAGCTCAAATCACTGAATGGAAAAGACAAGATGACTAAAAGGGACCTGAGCATGACAAAGAAAAAGAACAAGATAAAAAAAAGAAAAAAAAATCTTTAATTTAATTTTATCCAGTGGCAGAGAAATATATATATATATAAATAAACAAATCTCTCAACATCAAAGAAAACATGTATATCATGTTTAAGCGAAACTAGCGAGCTAACTTCTAACTCTGTTAAATGTAATAAATTCTGTTTTCATGGATGCCTGGATGTTAAACTTCATGTTACACCTGGTAAAGCAGCAACGCTGATCATTTTATTAAAGATGGAAGAATTTAGAAGTGTTTTATCTCTCAGTGATGCTGCAGTGTTCGTTTGAGAAAGGACCCAAAATCCAGGACTCACGGAGGCAAACATAAATCAAAACACTTAGCTTTATTGCTGGATAGCAACGGAACAGAAAACTAACCAAACTGAGAGTATAAAAACAAACTAAACAGGCAGGCAAGGTAGCAAAGAGAACACAGTGAAAGTGAGGGCATGACGCGACAACGAGGAAGACAAAGACACTAAATACGATTTCTTGTGGTATTTTTGTATGTCACAGTCTCTGGAAAATTCTGGATCTCTGCATCATTTGTGGCTCGGCTTCAGGGATGACAGAGTTGTTCTGTGCCTGCTCGTCAGTCTTTGATCCAGATAAGTGTATGTCAACAACCATTTGAAGGAATGAAGTCAATGTTTATTGATCCCAGAGAGCTTGAATCGTCCCAATTGTCCTCTTGCTTCATGGTTTAAAGTCGGCCAGTGGATAAAATGAAAGGATATTTATTTATTTATTTGTCCACTAACATCATGAGGTTTAAATTTCAAAGTGCATTTCAATACTTAATGACCAAATCTCATCAAAACAAATTGTAATGCCCTATTTAACAAGTGTTATCACTGTGAGATCTTAAACCAAGATACTAAACATAAACATCAACATCTCAGTATTGTCATCATTCACATGTTGTTATACTAACGTTACCTGTGAGGTGTATTGCCACAGCCACTAACAATAATGTCCAAAAAGATTGGACTTGGGAAGACATGGGACCCATGGAAGCCGGTCCCATTTAATCTGTGAGCTGTAACAGGACACCACCGTCTAAAACAGTGTTATTCCAGTGAAACAGGAAACTGATCAGAACTTGAGATAAAGAAGTGAAGCAGCTGTTATTACACTGAATGAACTGAATATTTGTGGTGACCTCATGCTGTCATTATACATAAACCTGCTTGTGTTTCAGTGACAAAATTTTCCCTTGATTTGTTTTCTTTTTTCTTTAGATTATATCAGTAAATGTTATCAACTAAAGCTGATTTCAATAAAGGCAAAAAACTAAAATGAGGATTTATTTGATTTCCTGAAATAGTAATACATGAACAATACTAGTGAAGCAACATACAAACAGCTTTAAATTCTATTTTTGAAGACAAACTGATTCCACATATTTGCTTTTGGCTGCAATTACTCTGAGTTTAGTTTGAGACAATACTCAGAACTTACTTTTTATGTACACTTTATGTCCAGATTTCCTTTTCCTTCTTTAGATCACACGTCAGGGTTACACGCTCAAACGATAATGAGAGCTCAGATATGATGTCACCAGTTTCCAGAGAAGCAGGAAACTGATCAAATGTTAAGATTTAAGATTTGTTGATTTGTCAGTTTGTGTCTGTCCTGGAAACATGTTTGTGTGCACAAATGAAACAAGGTTTGGACACACAATGAAAACATTTCATCATAGCAAGGTCAAAGGTCAAGGCCTTAGGTTGTAACAGCTTAACCAGATCACATCACGCTGGCATTAAAAGCATTTAATGAAGTTTCATTTTAACATGTGGACACTCGCAAGAACCGATTGTTTGCAACACACACATTCTTTTCCTCATCAGACTTCTGAAGAAACCACGCCTCCTGTTACTGCAGGTGAGTGTTTCCTTTAACCAGTGCTCAAGGACAAATGCTGCACAGCCTCACTCACGGCAAGGAAGCAGATGCATCAGTGTAATTTATGAGGTAGATACTTTATGTTTGGTTGTTTGTATAATTTACTGTATAATAGAAACATAAAGTGTGTCTCTGTGGTTCTAAGTGACAACTTGTTGCCTCAAACATGTAAAACTTTAGTTCTCAGATGCAGATTTGGTTGTGATCTAAGGTGTATTTGTTTATTTGTGAGGCAATTTACAACAAGCTACATTGTAATAGTTATTATCCCTCTATGCTGTACATTACACAGTGTGAAGGCCATCTACAGAGAAGAAAAAGTTAAAGCATAATTATGTTAAATAATTATAATCATTTACATGAACTCTAACCTTTTTTTGATCAAAATAATAAAATTTATTCTGATATAGTTAAGTGTTGATAGATCATCACATAGTGGCATACATCAAGTTGAATTAGGATGCTGTTTTTAAACCACATGATTTGTTCTTTTTTTCATTTCAACATGAATGCAGAGGTATATCTCTTTATTGTGACTATTTTCTTCTTGTTTTCCAGAACAAAATGAGCCTAAAAAACTGGTTTGGATTCCCGATCAGCCCAGGTAACCTGACACAAGTATTTTCAAATCTAAAGCTCAGTACTTGTTTATATGTGTATAAAAAATACTTCAGAAAACTCTGCTTTTCTTCACTTACTAATTTTTACTGGTTGTTAGAAGATTATAGAAACCTTTTTGTTTTTACATTGAAGATTATTATTATTATAGAGTTATTTTATTTTCATGATTTTTCTTTAATTTTTCACTTCAGAGAATTTGACTCCTGCGGTGCTCAACTGCATCCTTATTATTGTTGTCTCGTGCCCATTCTTCTTGTTGTCATTGTCACATACAAGTGTAAACAAAAGAAAAACAGTAAGTTACAAATTCAGTTTCAGTCTGACACAAGTTTAATGAGCTATATAAATAACTTGTTTCATTTTAACTGTATTTTAACAGATGTTGGATAAAGCACAAGATCACCCAGATTAATTAAGACTTTATAATAATCAAACTAAACACTAATCTACAACTTAGGTATTGTGTTTCTGCAGGAGGGAGCAAAAATGAAAATAGGACAGCTGAGAGGAATTCAACTGAAGCTTTGAACTCAGGGGAAACAGAAAATGACAACAAGCATGTGAGTAAACAATGGACATTACTTTTATCTACTTCCGATGAAAAAAGAAGCAGAATTGCGTGTCAGAGGGAAGTCTAACCTGAACAACAAAGTTCAGTCAGAGATGAATCAGAAGCACAAAGATAAGATAGCAACTCAGGAAAAAAAAAAAACAGGGGGAGGAGAGAGAAATGAACCAGCTGCACAAAAAACAAATTACAGATGGTGTAAAAATGAATGACTGTCATGTCTGTGAATAAAGGCATGATAGTGGGGCAAACTTAGATAAATGACAAATAGACTCAAGGACAGCTTTTACAACAGGGCAACGGCCCTAATCAGTGCAAACAGTTGACCTGATTGGTTACCTCCCAGGACTTCTTTTGGGGGGTAACAACAATAACAATAATAATATTTTTGTATTTTTATAAAAAAAAAAAAACAAGGTGGAATAATAATTAATGTGAAATAGTAACAGTATGCAATACACATACACTTATTCGTCATTTTTATAAGTTAAGTTACTGTGTTGTGTTGTGTGGTATCGTGTCATGTTGTGTTGTATCTAGTGCTGATATTGGACAGTTTCATTTTACTATTGTACTATGTATGACTGTGCAATGACAGTAAAGAGTTATCTTACCTTATCGTAGTGAGACTTCATTGTAAAGCAAACATGAGTTTTTAGAGTTGCTGCTTTGTTGACTTTTGACAGCTTGTTTCAGTCTTTATTAGCCCCACTGATAAAACAATATTTTATAGCAAGTACAACTACAGTGAACAAGTACACCACCTTCACAGAATCTGTGTGGCCAATAATTATACAATCTCTAAATTCAGCAAAGTCATTAAAATAAATAATCCATTAGATTTGACTTCAATTGATGACATTTACCATTGAGATTATGCACCTGTGCAACAGAGGCATGCTGAGGGAGCACAGCCATATTTGATCAGTAGCTCATCTTCCTCTTATTTAAAAAAAATGATGAAATGTTCCGGCTTTAGGTGTTTTTCTATGATCTATATAGACTCTTATCCTCCATCAGAAGGATGCATTGCAGAGTGTCCATGATATAATGCTGGCAGTTTTATTGTGTTAAGCTAAATGACTGTAAATAGTCTGAAATTTCACTTTTAGAGCATTTCCTTCACACACACACAATATTCTTTATGTCTGATAATCGCTCCAAAACGTGCTTCTTTTTCATAATGTTCTACTTTTTTCCAAGTTAAAAGAAAAAGAAGCTGCAGCCCTGAAGCTCAGTGATGAACACCAGACTGAGGAAGGAGATGAGAAGAACCTGCAGACACTGGAGAATAATTCACCAAACCATGTTGTGGGTAACATTTTTGCAAATTAAATCTTCCAAAACTTTGAACATTTATTTTAAAAGCTCTAACATTTTTTTCTCTAATCTCAGGTGGGTGAGGAAGTAGCTGTGGCACAGCAGCAGCTGCAGGGTGAGGAGCAGCACAGGGGGCATGATGAGGTGAGGATGCAGACTCTGAAGAAAGAGCTGCAGAGCATGAATGAGGTGGTCTAAATGCATGAAACCAGCTCAGATGTTTCCCCAGTTGTCATCTAGTCCATGCTTAGCTGTATGCTAACCTAAATGAATGAATAATTGATCCTCTCAGCTGTGCTTCTGTTTGTTAGTTGGATAAAACTGAGGTGATGACACCTGACACGCTTAAAGAAAAGCAGGAGGCCTCTTCACAACTGAACCTCGGCCTTGCTGTCACCACGAGGAACAAAGTAAGCAACATCACCTCTTACAGCACACACGACCTTATATTACACTAACTCAGGACAACCATGTTATGGTACTTTTTAAAGAACTACATTTGAATGTCAGGAGATAAAGTAAACAGTTGGTGAGCACATGGTGATGGTTAGAAGGAAATATCGTCTTTTAACAATAAAAAAAAGTCTCTAACAACTGAGGGTGCACAGCCGTATTTGATCTTCTTTGATTAAAAACACTTTGTTTTTAATAAAACACATTTATTTTTCAGTGGCAAAAATCAGCCGATGGAAAATGAGCTGCAATGGCCATCAATGCTGATGACCACTGTACCAAACCTGTTTTTTAGAGAATTAAAAACCACTTTTAGGATTAAAATGTAGACAGCTTTTGATCTAGATCACTTAAAATCATATTTGTTTTGCAACCTGATTACACTTGGAGATTCACCAATTCAAGAATATGTGTATTTTGTTAACAATGCTAACAAAATGTACATTTAATATACTAATTTCTTATGTTGTTTTTTTCTCTGTGATCTCAGGTGAATGAGGAAAGTAGCTACAGCGCAGCAGCTACAGCGTGAGGAACAGGGGGGGGGGGGGGGGGGGGTGGGGGGGTGGGGGGGGGGGGGGGGGGGGGGCGGGGGGGGGGGGGGTGGGGTGGGGAGGGGGGGGGGGGGGGGGGGGGGGGGGGAGGGAAGAGGAAGTAGCTACACAGCAGCAGCTGCAGCGTGAGAAGCAGAGGGAGGTGGATGCTAATGTGAAGAAAAGGCTGGAGAGGAAGAAGAAGGTGGTTTGTCTTGTATGATGTTCATTCCTTCTGTATCGAGTTGGAGAAATGCAGATTTTTTTTGATTACCCTTCACCTCACTCTTCTCCTAGTTTAACGACATAGTGGCCAGGTTTGAGCAGAAGCTCCAGGGTGCACAGCAGCAGAGTAGGAAGGACGCTGAGGAAGATCTTCTGGACAGAAAAGTGATTACATTTATTTTAATTTTTAATGTATCTATAGATATTTTTATATTTTTCAACTAATAAGGAATTAATACAGACAGCAGTTATGTATTGCAACAAAATTGAAATGTTTTTTGGTTCTTAAACCATCCTACTTTTGTAACTATAAATAATTATGAGTGATGATATAAAACTTGGGCCCTGTTAGGCCCTACATATATTAAATATTTACATAACTGTGATTGTAAATCACTTACAGTGGAAAATGCTGCTTTGATAAGATTTATTTGAACACAGGTTTCATCCTGATTTGTGTCTCTTGGTTTGTCTGTTGTAGTCTCCTCTCTCCTGTGACCCTGATGATTCACTGAAAGTCATTGAAGAGATGGATGCAGAGTTGAAAATGAAAGATAATGATGTGCAGATGCTGAAGAAAGAGCTGGAAACCAATAAAAAACAGGTTATTTCCTTTAGTTTCATTCCATGAGTACATCTCATATTTGTCTCTTTCATGTTTGATATCATATCTAGTCAGAGGTTCAGCTGCTGCTATGAAGCTCAGTGCCTCTCTCCTTTT